TTCAATTCAAAATTCAAATAAACCCCAGTAATAGTGCTTAAGTTGTACTTAAGGGTAATTTATCATCTGTATGGCAACACAAACTGTTTTTTGTAAGTATTCCTGTTTTTTTAAAAAAACTGAAGAAGCCCATTAACATTTTCTTTGAGCACTGGCTGACAAAAACTGGCTAACGTTTTAGTAGTTATGCTGTTATACATCACAGTATTCATACTGAAATATTTGGTTATCTGAGATGCTCATCAGTCAGTGGATATCATCAGAACAGGCTTCAGTCTCTTATATGGCCATTAGCAAGTAGTTTGCTATGAATATAGGAGCAGAAAAAAGGATGGGATAGAAAAGATTTTTTTTTTTTATGTAAACTTGAAATAGTAAGATTTACTTATATATAGCATCCTAACTTAAGTTCTGAAACACACCTCCCCCCACCCCCCAAATACTGAGGTCAGAAGGACGGTATGTTTGGCCTGATTTTAAATGCTATGGGATAAGCAGAATAGAGCACAAAATACAATAATTGTAAGTCTTCTCAGTGGTTAGTGAGTCATAAAACCTCTTCTGGTGTCACCCACAGAATTAGGAGTCTTGCACAAAAGATGAACATTTAAACAGAGCAGCTTTTAAAAATGGGATAAAAATGAAAGTGCCAGGAGCAAGAATGCAGAAGTAGGGGAACAGTTTAAAAGGATGAAAAGAAAAAGGAACAAGAAAGCAGAAAACCAAAGGACAGAAAGCCATGGTCAGAGGATCAAGGAAAAGAGGAATAATTATAGGGAACAGGAAGTAATCGAGAAAGAAAGCAGAACGTCTCAGGTGGTAAAAAGAGGTAATGACAAAAAAATAAAGATGTTTTTGGAGCAACACAGAAGAAGAAACTGGGCGTACCTGTGTGAGCTGGAAGGTGTGTGATGGCATCATTCCAGGCAGGAGAACATGAAAGAAGGGAAGATGTGGGAGAAGGGAAGAGAGCTTGGCAGGGTATCCCTTCTGTCAGTGAGAATAGGGAACAGGAGCCCGGGATTCTGTGTCTATGTTTTGTGTACATTTTCCACCCAAAGTACACCCACAGGCAAATGAAGGATCAGGCAGCTTTTTGTTCTAAGAACTTGAAAATCAGGAATTAGGCCAAAAAAGAATTAAAAGGCAGGAAAAAAATCCAGTGCTGATTTTTCTCCGTCTGTCTCATAATGATTGAGCTGTAGGATTTGGCAATATTACTGCAGTAATGCAAATTGTATAATGTTCCTTAAAACCCTTGGTATCCATCTAGTTCACATTTTATTTACATTCATGTTGGCAGTTTGCATGCTTCTTTTCTGCCTAACTGAACATTGTAAGTTTAAGCAATATTTGTATGTGTGTTAAGAAAGAAACATACTGTTTCCCATATTCTTTTCAACAAGGCCCACAACATAAAAAGCCTTGAGCAAGAAACTCTATACATTTAATAAGAGCTTAATCTTCTCTCTCAAAGTGCTTTAGAAGGATGTGAATAAAGATAATTTAACAAATTCTACATAAGTTCAGGAACTAGCTAGCTAGAATGAAACACAGAGAAAAAAGGCTTTGTGAGATTATTGGAATTTTGCCCCACCCAGCCAAAGAAGGGGACCTGGGACTACCATGCTGCTGCTCTGTACAAGGCTATCACAACTTGCAGTGGCATTCTGCAGTACTGTGGCTAACTGGTGTGGCACAGCGATCTCTTCCAGCTGGCTAGGGTGTTGGAAACTGCTTAGGGTGACCCTTTATGCTGCACTACTACCTTCTTTTTTAGCCAGGCTGAGTAGTCAAGCTGGAGGGCTATGCTGCTATCCGGGATGAATGGCTTGTGACAAATAAGTTAATTCTTTCTGAACTGGTTTGGGTGGCTCAGACTGGCATATCCCAGACCATATACACATAAGGGTTTAATTCTGGTAAAAGCCATAGACCTGACTCAAAACGATGCCAACAAACTTGCTGTCAACATGGGAGTTGGGAGACAGCAAATGATGTAAATGGAGGTAATAGTGTAGACCATTCAATTCTAGAATCTGTCCCCAGTTTTTATCGTTTCAGAATATAATATGAACTCTTATTTAAATTAAATTTTAATCTGTATCACCTATCTGCCCCCTTTTCATTACTGTAAACATGGTATATTTAAAATACACATTTTGGATGCTAATACTTTTTAAACACAACGTGTTTTCTCTCTTCTCTTTGTGTTTAACCACAAGTATAGGCAAAGAAGAGGGAGAGAAAATAGTGAGAGTCCTAATCTAGGGAAGTCCTAAAAATACAATTAATTTAGCTTTAGCAGTTTGGGTTTATATCCAGGATTAATGGATATGTGCCACAAATTGTTCTCTGTTTTTGCTTTCCTTTCATACATTAAAAATAGGGATAAAATATTTTCCTGTCTCACAAGATAAATCCATTACTATTCATGGGAATCTGAGATATTGTGATGAATGCCATGAGAAACTAATAGTTCTGTGCACAGCACAGGCTTGGGAAGATTTGCAATAAATCAAGGAGTGCCCAGAAACTGAATGAACAGGGCTGAACAACTGCCTTTTCAGTTAACTCTCATCCAGCCTATGCACTAAATGAGGCAGGGATCCTGTTGAAAAAAATACTGAGCCATCAGGTAATTATAGACTGTGCACGCACTTAAAGATGCATTCACACAAGGAGACAGAACCGAGGCTGTGCAAATACAAACTCATTTCTTGCACTTCCCAGCACTTGAGTGCTTCACTCTGTAGTGAAGCTACATGCAAAAGCCTTTCCATGTAGGATGATCTGGGACTGCTGTACAGAGTACATAAGGTGTGGGGGACCTCAGCTGGACTGAGGCCCTGGGAAGGAATGGCTTCGACCTTGAAAGGATTCCAGTCTACCCCTGAGAGAGCAAACAAGAACAAGAGGAGCTGCAAGATAAGCAAGCTTATTGACCGCAGTAAGAAAGCATAACAACTCTGAACCAGTAAGAAAAGAGACACATCGGAAGAACTGATAACCCTGTACTTGGAACTAGTTCTAGGTGGATAGAGACACTAGAAAACTTGGGAGGCTGAACTTTTGAACTTTTCATCTTACTACACTTGCGTGATTAGCTTATGCATATTAACTTCTCCGCCCTGGCAAGAGCCAGGGTTCATTTCCATGAACATGCGATGTATGAACACATACATGAAGGGGTGTGTTGGTAGGCGGTCCAGAAAGTCTGTACACCCTGTAGTAAAACTATAAAGGAACAAAGGAGGAAAGCAATAAAGGCTTTTTGGAGGATTTTTTGCTTTTGGCTTTTAGGTTTTTGTGTTAACTTGCTTTAAAGAAGAATCTGTCTTGTAGTTTTGTCCGTCTCGACTGCGACAATAAGCATATCCTTTTATGGGTCCACTGGTTTCCTCAGAAGTTACCTTACTTGACATAAAAGATAGACAGACACACACGTGTCCACACACACATGCTTACAACTGGAGGTGTCATGAAGTAATGTAGCGGGTAAGGGCTAATCTAATTCACACAGTGAGTCTTGGCTCCTCCACTGAATTTCCTTCCCCTTCCTAAAACACTGATCTTCAAAGTTGAGGTAGATTATGTAACAAGATGGCACATAGAGGAGGGTTTTGTTACCACCATGGGAGGAGTAGCCAAGGAATCTGCAATTATGTGGATCGAGAATATAAACCTCTTACACAGGAATGCACAGGAGATCAGCTGCATTCCTGCAGTCCAGAGCCTGTGGTAACCGCAGAGAAATGCTCTAAAGCTCTAGGATTAGAGTAGTCTTTTTTGCCCTCACAGTTTTGGTTTTGCTTAGCTTGTTTACTGGGAGTATAAAAGTACAACATATATAGAAATCAGCTCTATTTACCTTAACTGGAGTGTTCATGATGAAGTCTAATTTTTCTGTCAATATTTTGATGTTTTCACTGCTGAATATTTTAGCAGGCACAGCCAAATACTCCAGGATTATAGATTGAGTTTGGAGAGGGAAAAGTATCAAGAGAACAGCTTTCCTTTTCTTTCATTATGACTTTTAAAAGATAATAGAATAAATTACAGGTGAGAAACCCTTAAAATACAGACTTTCTGAAACTTCCTAAGTGTAGATTTTCCTGTCTGGAAGATTTTCTGCTTACATTTCACTTTCTGGTTAGTAATTACTGACAAACAAATGCCTCATTGTAGTTGTGCTGCCTTTGCAGCAATAATAAAGTTGATTTTCTCTCTGTCAGCTGCTCAGTGATTATTTTGATAAGTTTTTATTCAGCTACTTCTGTTTCACATTGTCAGAAGATGATGTACCCACAGTTCTTGTCGGAAAGCACACTTTTATTCAGAAGAAAGGAAAATAAAGCATCCTGTGAACAGTATTGGTAAAGTAATTAAAAGAAAAAGCATACAATACCACTAATTTTTCAGTGTCTAGTACCTTGTAAATACATTTCAAAATCACATTATAGTTGATCTGTCCAAACAAGGGACAGATTTTTAGCTTAAAGTATCTTATGATTATTTCTTTTGGTGATTTAATGTATAATAAAACCAATTCAGCCAGTATCATCAGTAAGGAAGCACAGTACCTACAACAGATCAGGGCTAAGAACATGGAAAACATATGACCGAAAAATCTCACAAAGAATAAAATTCTCTTCTTTTTCTGCGGGAGGAAAGAGGTTTGTGTTCTACCGAAGTCCTTTAATACAAGATAAACTATATTCAAAAGGAAAGTTCCTTTGTTGGTCTTACTGCAACACATGAAGTTCTACTATCAGTTAAAACTAAAACAAAATTGGGCATATATGTTAGAATTTGACACAAATTCTTTCTGAGAAAACCTACTGTGTAAAACTTGAAACTATTTATCCTATTGTTAACTGACAAGTGGTTGTGCATTTCTAAACGTTTGCATTCCCTCTCATTTCTTTGGCATATCACTAATTTGATGCAGATACCCTCTCGAATGCCCCTGAAAAATAAGTAAACCACCAGCAGCAACATAGCCAAATAGCCAGACACATTTATTGTGTTTAATATACAAGGTCATGTCTTAAATTTGGGTGTTGGTGTTGATGTTTAGACATAAAATTGGTATTTGTATGCCTGGATGCTGGCTGAATAGCAAATATAGAACAGGAAACTCAAGTTTGCATATAGCATATACTTTTCAGTGTATTATCAGTGATTTTAAATATAGTATAAAATAGCTTATAGGCTATCATCTCTACAGTTAATTTTATGTTTGATATCCCCATAACATTATACCTCCTTAAAGATTTACTGTATTTTGAACCATCAGTGAAAGGCACTTGTGTAAGATGAAATCTCAGCTCTGCCGAAGGTAAGACCAAAAATTAGTGACTTCAACAGAGTCAAAATGTTTTCATGTTCATAAGCTAAACTTGCCAGCTTGTTGCATTGCTCTGGTTTGTACAGTGTACCTTACTTCCCTTGAGGATTATAGGAGACTTGATAATCAAGAGGAGTTGCTCACACTGGTCCAGCCACATTGGTTGTTGCAGGTTTTTGATTATCTTGTACTATAGCAAAAGCATCACACATTACAAATACGTGTTTCATTTTCTGCACATGCTCACCCTCTTTACTGGGAGCTTGCTGTAAATGTTATTTAGTTTACAGTAAGTTCTGATATGTAAGTGCAAAGTGATATTATTACGATTCATGTGTTCATTTTACTTTGATTTGCTACTTGCTCATTCAAAGAACAGCACTACCAATGATCTTTTGGAATAAACGTTGTTTCTACAATGGATAGGAATGGAAATGTTTAATTCCTATACTCTCATTTAGCCAAGTCTAGTTCAAAATACAGTACTTAGAAGGAAAATATATTATCGAAACGGTGTAATAAATCTACATGTATATTTAGTCTAGAAGTGATTTCCAACCAGTTTATCATCAGTTTATAAGTCCATTCTAATGCCTAAATTACTATAGTGACAACAACATATCTTCAAAATAAACAGAAATTAATTCTTAACCTAAATGTTCTGAATATATTTTCAGCAACACAATACTATAAAATAGATTCATCTTGTATCTCAGAGTGCTGTATGTAATACATATAACATTGTTACTATTTTACTATTAATGTTTTTCAAAAAGTACATGCAAAATGGTCAAATAAATTTTAGAAAACAGTATTCTATCGGTACAATATAGAAAAAGAAATTTCAGCGATAACGGTACATGGCTGTACATGTCAGTGTAGCTAATGCTATTGCAGTTGGAATGGCAGGTCAGCAATATATTGTCTTCTCTGATGCCCACTTTTGATTTCCTGTTTTCACAACAGGATGTTATCACTAAAGGAAGCATTTCTTTTCAGGCTACTGTCCTCCCCAGAGTGGCAGTCTCTGGTATTTAAAAGAGCAGAGCCAGAGTAAAACCTGTTCCCAGGGTTTGTTGTCCTCTGTATAGACCTGAACTGGCCTCTTTGAGTGTAACTAATTGGACTGTGACAAATGTGGAAAGGAAGTGGAAAATTATAATTTTAACTTTAGCTCATATTCTCTGAAATTTAATTGCTCAGATAAATGGTAATAGGAATGTTATACAAAGCAAGCCGTGACAAAATCCTGAAATCTTAAAAAAGGTTAATTGTACATTTAGAAGAGTGTAACCAATTAACTTGTAATCAGCTTTAGTGACTTTTCTTGCTTTCACAATTAGGAAATCCGAAAAAGATTTTGATCTTCAATGAAGCTCTTACTTGCTCTTACTTGCATAGAATTCTGTATCAGTCATTATCATAGATGCAATCTGAAATGGAAATAAAATGCAAAAATACTACTATCGTGTAGTACTTTGACTTAAGGTTAAAAGTTATTTGGTGTAATTAAATATAGTCGTTGTATTGTTTTAAATGCTCAACATACCGTCGCCGATATCATCATAAATCTCTCCATCACTGTAAGTTAAAAAAAAAAAAAGTATTAAAAAATTGAGACATCAGATATATATAACTATTTGCATGCAGATACAAAATAGTATAGCAGTATGGTACAGACATGCTATCACATCATTAGTTTGCTAATTAGGAAAGTGCAACCTTTCTGGTAACAAGAAAGTGTTGAGCAAGACAGTTTGGTCAAAGGATTTTCAGTGGAGGGTTGAGCTGAATACATTTCTTTCTGACACGAAAGGCTTGATTTATTAAAAGACTGGTTTTTTTGAATAAGTTTTTAAATAACTATTCTAACAGACTCATAGGGATATTTCCATAAAAACAAAATACCTACTGATTTTTTTAAATGAAAACCAGAAAAGATGGGAAAAAAAAATCAGTATGCATTTGAACTCCTTATTTGTTTCTGTACCTGGCAATGCCATAATGGTTTTGGAGAAGCAGCTTTTTAGATAATGAATTTAGGTAATGTCTATAAATGATACATGTTCCATGAATAGGAATTTTCAAAATCATTCAGTTACATGAACAGGCCCATGGAAGCCAATAAAACTATAAGTTAAACATGTAAAAGTGTTTGCAGGCCTTAATTCTAAAAGCGACATCTGATTTGATATTTTAAGGGTCTAACATAAAGCCCATTGAAGGAAATGGAAAGGCTTTGTCTGAGGAGGGTTTTGGTTTAGAACCTAAATGCTGAACTCCATGCAATTATTTGGAGCAGTGCTGAGCCAAATCTGCTCAGTCCTAGTAAAACAGAAATAAAAATAAACGCAAAAAAAAATGGGTCCATTTTAGTTAAACATTTGAAAATGGCATCAATACACTTAATCACATTAATGTGCAGTTCAGTAAGATTCTAGTACCGATACTGCTTAATTTATGTGAATTTTCATGATTTAAAACAGAGTTTATTGTGAAGCAATGAGGAATGGGGCGCTGGGAAATTTCCAGTATGGATGTATGTGACTAATTCTTGAGAAATCTAAACTCCATAAAAATAACTCAATTTGCAGGCCTAGAATGACATACTAAAATAATTACATTTCACTTTTATTTAACAAACAGTTTAAACCAAAAATGAGCGTTGTAACAAATTTTTCAAAAGATCACTTTGTACTTACTTCTCAACTAAATTGCTTCTCAGAACATAGCCATCTGTGAAATTGAAAGATATCCGTATTTCAGTTAAATTTAAATATTCATGTTATTTCTTCTGTTGCTAGCACTAGTGAAATGCAGTTTTTCTGTTTTAAATATTTCAGATGGAAAGACATAATAGATGGATAATGATGTACAATTAATATATGCTTGAGGAAAATTTTGCTATGTCAGGTTTTAGTTTTAATTATTCTTAGTTGCTTGTTTAGTATAACGTGATGCCTTAGATATGGAATCAGAATACTGCAGTAACTCCAGGACCAGTTAGATGTGTACTGTGCCCAGTACTTTCCATAATCATAAAATGTAATTTGTCTTGTTTCGTTGCAGTAGTTTCAGTTGCGTACAAAACTAGTGCAGAAAGGAGAAAACAGTAATACAGGTTATGCAAGATTAGGTTTTCATCTTGTATTTTAGTTCCCTGGTTGCATGAGAGGGGTGTAAAACAATATCTGTTAACACAAAATACAGTACAGTTCACAAACTGCAACACAAAAACGTGCTATAATAATAACCATATAATAATATCTATAATAATAAAAAACAGAAATATGTATAGTTTCCTACAAGGACAAAAATGTTGTTCAAGATGTATGCACCAATTAATTTACATTAATTGAAATGGTTTAAAATTTTTTAACTGTATCATATTGATAAGAACTCTTTATATAGATAATGGAAATACCTGAGAAACACTACTCACTGGTGAATTATTGTGTTACTCTGTTGTATTACTAATGAAATCAGATAAAACCACACATGTTCATCAATATATTCAATCTCTTGAAAAAATTGTTTTCTTTGGTGAAAGATATCTACTGAAATACTTGTCAATTGGTATGACATATAAAAGCAAAAAGAAAGCTGTAACAATAATTACATATTTATAGGTAAACATTAGCATGGTGATACAAAGTTAGGACAATTCTAAAGGAGAAATGTGGTCTTGTGGTATATTTGAAATTACTATATAAGTTTCCTTCTTTTATTCATTAAGAGGTTTAAGTGGTCACACTAAAATGACAGGTTTTTAGTAATTAATACACAAATCATGGGTTTTAGAATCAATTTATTAGCTTGACTTACAAAGTTCCTTGAATTCTTGAAGCTGCTACTGCACCATGTACTTAGGGGAACCATTATATAGTACAGAAAGTACCTGTTTTCTGCTAGTATTTCTGGTGGCAATCCTTCAGGTCAGTCTAGCTGAATCCCCAGATCTTACTGTTTTACCTTAAGGAATTATTTCCTCCTTCACATTAATTTTTCTTTTCTGATACACAAGACATGAAAGTATCTTTCCTTTTTTTAAATACACAGTAATGTCCAGCTAAAGAATCTCATATTTTGTGTTAAGCCTTTTTCACATCCAAGCCCTAATTTTATTGCGTTTTTCAGGATCTGTAACTTTGCTAGTAGGGGGAAACCTTCCCTTGTAATCTGGCATTAGACACAATGAGCTACTACTGTTCCAAAAAGCTGCTGAATTATCACAGTCTTCAACTGGCCAAAGATTTGATATATAAAAATGTCCTGTGATTCCTGTATGGAATATTGGAAAAGTCGTCTGACAAGACTCATGTTGCAAATAGTCCTGCAAATAGTAATAAGTAACTAATGCTCATATGCAACATTTCTTCATAAAGAAACATCTACATAATTCATTTTAACTCGGTGTATTTCCATCTTAAAATAGGTAGATACCAGATATTGCTACTAATCTCAAATGTAAATAAGTTTTTTTCTAGAATATACTGTATATAAATTAGCGATTTGCTCTGTGAAGTCCATAGTACATTAAAAACACTGCATTTTTAAAGAAAACTTCTGTCTTGTTCTAGAGCTCAATGTTGCCTCAAAAGACATTAATTTCGTGTGATAATATTTTATTTGACACTAATCTGCTTTAGCTTCTGTGTGAGACTTAACAGTTACATAAATTAAAAAATAGTTCTATGCATTTAATATTTGATTGCATCTATGTATGATAAAATTTGCTTAATTTGCCTGGTTTTATATCTTCAGGGTCATAAAGATTGGATACTTACATAAATTCTATTATAACTTTTGCCTACTAAAAATGTTAAACTGCAGGTAATCTTCAAGAGTCAAAGAACCCAGTGCTGCAGATTTTCAGTCACCTGTGCATTCTTTCAGGCTGATTGCAAGTTGTTACACAGAGGGAAAACTCTGTCTCTTCAGGATAATCTTAGTCTGGTTGTCTTTCATATAAAGGCATGGAAGTTGATTTTTTTTTTAAGACATCTTTACATCTTTTTTATATTCTTTTTAAGCAGACTCCAGTAATTTCCAGGACTCCTGAAGTCTCCTGGGCATAATTTAAAATCATTTGTTTGATCTAATCTTCTCTGTTTCTTCTTTTAATTTTTTCATGTGAAATACATGAAAGCAAAATTTATTTGCTTACAGTCATGGTGTACAAACACAGTGTGCTTGCAAGCCAGACATGCATGTGATGGTCTTTCTACCCCAGCAAAGCATAATCTAGGTTCTTCTGACAGTCCCTAGCCCCTAAATATATGGAAGATACAGCCCTTGCTGATCTCATGCTCTTTAAAATTTACTAATCCAAAGTTTCAGTTTCTAACTAATATATTCATTTTTTTGTGGCTTCTATAATAGGAAACAAGGCAGCAGGTCAGCACACTCCAGCTCGATTACTTAGCACCACTGATAGCTATGACACGTCAGGCCAGCTGCTCTCTGACAGTGTGAAGGAAGCTTGGAGGGGACACAAAGTTTCAGGCACTGAGGTCCATTTATATCCTAATATTTAAGCAAAATACATGATAGTGAATTGAAGGTTTTTGTGTATTTCCAAAGGTACATGGGTCAGACCAAGGCAACAGTAAGAAGGAATTTGAGAAGGTAAGTGAGAATTAATTCCTTGATTCACTTTTGAAATTTCAAATAATTTCATAACAATTAAAATACATTCCTAAGATCATCAGGTCTTGCTTAAAAAGGTGGGAAGACAGTATAACATTGCAGTTTTGTTTAACTGCTGGTAGAGGCATTAAGCAATGGAAGTACTTGATAAATCAATGATCAAATGAAAGAATTAATGTGCAAGAAAGTAACAAATACATCTTTAATTGTTGATTTTCAGTCTATCTGGTCTTCTAAAGGTAAAATCATAGCTGTAAAATATGAAGAACTAGAGCAACTAGAGCAAACAACCAAAACTGTCATGCATTTAAGTAAAGTTAGATTCAAACTTCACTAATTAATGTGAAAATTGACAGATATCTATTCAGAGGTTTTCAGGGAGGATATTTTTATTTGTTTTGCTCTTTTATGCATAGCAAAGCAGTATCTCCTGTCACTATTTGAAAGGCTTTGAAGACTATGTGAGGAGAACAGCCAACATGAGCTACTTTCTACTTTGTTATTAGCTTGATTCAAAAAATGCAGCCTTGAAGGCTGCTCTTTGGGAAGTGGCTGAACTAGTGCAATCTATATTTTGAAAAACATGTGTTATGCAAGAAGTTCTTCCTCACCCTGCAGGTCTGCCAGGAAGAAGGCTATACTCCAGACTGTAACAGTTGAGTACAGAGGGGAAAAAAATAGAGGGAAAGTGACTGAAACCCCATCAGAGGTTTATGGCATTGGACTGTCTTCTACATAGGTCAGAGGTAAAAAGTAGAGGTGAGTGGAAGGATGCTGCTACTTTGAGCATAGTCTGTTCTTACACAAAGGGAGTTTTCATTAGGAGATTTGAAAAGAATTGTAACAGAAGCACATTAAAAAATTGAAACCAAGAGTAGATTGTCCAGACTTCTCAAAAAATTTAGAAACTTCTGCCAATGCATACACTAGCCAAGGGTTTCAAAGAAACACTGAAAGGCCTCACACACAAGCAGGCGTGCCAACGAGGACATATGCCTTGAGTCAGCTAGGGGCTGGGGGGAAAACTCCCAAGCAGTTTACCCACCCCCCAGCCTACTGAAAAAATTAAACGCCATCTCTGGCAATCCAAAATAAGAATACTGTTATTGATTTTCCCTTGGCTGCAAACAGTGGGCAAGTGCTTCCCAGAGGTGCAGCAAGGATTTTACTTTCACTGGATTCTGTGGGGTATCAATAGCTATACTCTTTTGGCAAATAGAGGGAGACAGAAGCAACAAAAACATCTGCTAATCTTAGTTGATGCAAAGCAAGATTTACATAACTAACTTGTCCCTCTTCTCACATTTGGTAACTCTTGTCTATTGGAGTTTTAATTTTTTAAGGCATGCTGCTTTTAAAACACAGTAATAAAATAGCAACAATCTACCTCTTGTCAACCGTGAGGCAAGGAAAAAGACAAGTACAAGGCTCTGCTTTAATATGACAGGGAAGAGGGTTTTTTACATGTCTTGACTTAATCATTCTCTGTCAATCTGCTTTGTACTACAGATTTTTAATAAAACTTACATTTTCCTTCTTCATTCCTGCACAGGACCTTGGTATCATTTGTACTTTCTATAATTTCGAGACACTCCCCTGGTTTAATTTGTAAATCTTTAGATCCCCATCTTCTCTGGGGCAAATCCTTGACTGTGGTGGTAGAATAAAGAACTTAATTTCACCTTCAAACTGCAAACATAAAATAAAGAGATGCTGGTTAAAACCCAACAATGTAAAGCGTATGATCATGCATTTTTAAAACCAACATATTCCCATTTATTGCTAGATTTTTGAAAATCAGGCAAATAATAGTTTATGCTACGTCGTATGTACCCATGCTTGCCATTTGGACTTACAAATGCTCAGTTTACTGTTTTTACAACTAGTAATACTTTACCTTTCAAGGGTAAAATAATGGATTATTTAGAAATTAGGGGATACAAATCAGAGGACACCATACAGATATTTTAGTCTTTGTATTTTATGTGAACAAAACTTACTTTAAACTTTTTTCTGAACTCTTTCTCTTCTCTTTCCATCTTTTTAAGCTTTTGTGCATTTTTTTCATCTGATACATGTTTTCCGTGGCTTGCTGATTTTGATGAACTAAAACAAGGAGTTACAGATAAAAATAAAATTAGCAATACATCTGAGGTATTGACAACCTTTTGATAATTTTAGTGAAAATGCATTTGCCTTCATGTGTCTTTAGTATGTTTTATTGATCTGCAAAACTAATATGGATAATACAATACAGATTTGATTCAAAAAGTTGAGGTTTTCTTTCTTGCTTTTCTCTTGTAATGATTTCTGGTATTAATATATCTATCACATAAGTGAATATGGAAAATCATTCGAAGTATCTAGCTGCTACAGCAATGAGAACTTTACATCTACCAAAATACTGTAGGTAAATGATACCCATCACTTTAGAATCTCTAGGCAAGGAGCAATTTTTGTGAAGTCTGATCTTTGGGCAACAGGCTGAATAACACATGTCCCACCATGGAGGCAGCTGGAATTTCTTAGCCTTTCGTACAGTATCTGTGTTAGTCCTATGTGCCATGCATATGCATTACATGACCCATGTCAAGTTCTGTTGTTTTTTCCACATCCCTGATACTGTTGACTCGTGCCAATGAGCGCAGAAGGGTTTCGTGCACTAATTGTCCTTCCTGATGCTGTAGCTGGGAATTTAAATTCTGACTCTACTTTTTGATTCTTTCCCAATCTCTAGGAGTTGCAGATTACAGTTTCACTTTTAATGGATGTATGTGCATATGTGAACTAACCTAGATTTATGCTAGGAGGGGCATGTCTTTTCCTTTGGATACACAGTTCAAAGAGCTCTCTCTGTTTTAATGCCTCCAGACTAGATTGTTGTAGTGCACTCTGTAGCTCCACCTGAGTGGAGTTAGTAACAACAGAATGTGACATGTTGCAGTAATCTTCACAGATGCATCTGTGCACATAGCACATCTGTGCTCCAGAGATGGCCTTAACTTCCTGGCCCAGGGTTAAAAGGTTTCCAGGTTGAACTTGACACCTCCAGATCTGTTTCATACTTATAACACAGAGCACTATCTCCTTTTCTCTTAAAATACTGCAGGAGCTGCGATCAAGTACTTATACTAACAGTCCCCAAATTTTGACAGGAAGAGGACTGCATGCAGAGAATCTACAGTGAAATACCTTTAGGCCATGCATTAGTTTCTACCTCTTGTCCGTTGGGGACTGAATTTGTGGAAATTCAAAGCATGCTTATTTATGCTATAGTCTAATTATTATTTCAATCTGAAATGGGGACAGGAAGCATTCAACTGCCTTTGTCAACAGTAAGGTTACGAGAACTACAAAACCTGACAACACCAAATAAAGCATACATTAGTAGAAATCTGCCTCTAGTATATGCTTTGAAAATGTTTTACAGTGTATTACACATTTCTAATCAGGGGAGTAATTCCCATTTTCACTTGCTTGAGTTCAGACGGTGGTGGAGGGAAGTCTGAAGAATCTACGTCGTCATAAACATCATTGTCTTCACAATCTGAAAAAAAATACCGTTTAAAAGAATTGAAAATTATTATGTGATCCTTGAGTAGTGAATACATTGTGTTACAATCTATAGTAGTGTAGCTAAGTTGGCAAGAATTTATGGCAAGTACTGTAGCTGTTTGCTGTCTGCCCTAACTGTGGACTCTCTGTTTTGCACAATCTACTGTGCAAAAACAAACACCACCCAACCTTTTCAGAATAAGACTCTTTATTAATATTAATAGGTATTCACTAATATTTTAATCTTCTTAAGCTGAAGCAAGTTTTAGCACATGTTGGCTAATGCAATAGCCTTTAATCTTCACTTTAATTAGTCCATTCCCACTGTGTTGCATCAAAGTATAATTTTGGAGTTTGATTTTAATGTACATTCAGGCACTTCTATAGAACTCTGGTCAATGCAATGTTGCTTAGAAGTGGATGTGAATCACATGTCTGTTAGTTTTTAGGCCATCTTGCAATGCCAAAGCAGTGAAAAAAATTCTTACCCCAAGAATATACTTTGAATCACATTCAGCATATTTGTAGAGAGGAAGCAATTGTTCAACTTGTCAATCAATGGCTAGAAATGTCACAGTAGGAGTTAAAAGGTTTAGAACGCAGTTCAGGCAATGGCCTCAAAAGTTGTAAGAACTTCCTTTTTATTCCATGGCTGAGCTGATATTTATGAGTATACATTATCTTACAAAGACACTGCAAGTGATAAAAATGACAACAAGCATCTTTTTATACTTTTGAAGTTTTGCATTAAGTACTTCTTTCCAAGTGTGTCTGTTTATACTTAATGTCAAGTAAAATGAACTAGTGGAAATTTCACATAGAAAAATAATGACTTAAAAAATACATTAAATTATTTTCTAGAGAGCTTGCAATGTATCTGTATCTCCTTGTCTGTAGCCAAATCAGTCACAATATTTGAAATTTGTTTGCTGAAACTGGGTAAGCAATGGGAAATCCTGTTTCCTTCCTTGCATGTATTTTTGTGACTAGCATGACACAGAGTAATGTATACAGAAAAAAAGGATCAGGAATCAATATGGAGACTGAACAATAAGCCATTAATTACCTTTTCTAAACTGCGTTGTTGAAGAAGACATGCTGGGAAAAAAAAGATGCTCGTTAAGTATTGTATCACATTATTAGGCTTTTGCATCATTTAAATAATTTTTAAAACTTGCAACACAAGGGCGACAAGTAATCTCGACATTTTGAAACTTCACTGACACCAGAAATACTTACGGACTAAATATATTTTTAACACTGAATCAAAATAAACTAGCTCAGAACTGAATGAGAGAAGGTGGTGGTAAAAACACCAGTTGCTGATCTAACCTCTAGGCAAGATGGGCAGAAGACAATCTTTGCATTTTACTGCTTTGTATATTATTCCTAAAGTTTGGATTAATAGGACTAGATTTACCAGTTCATCTCAGATACATGTACTGGTGAGCCAAGGACATTTTAACTGAGGATACAGCAAACTTACATCACCAGAGTGGTACAAAGAATATGGAGTATTTTGGTGCTCTTAACCAAAAAATTTTTTTTGTATGTTTTAATTACCAGACTTATGCAACAAATACAGCTTGTTAAGACAATAATTCTATTATGCAGGTGCAAAGAAAGGAGATCAGTGTTTTTGCAGAAAAGTATCATCCTGAGCTGCAATTTGATGCATGATTCATTAGGCTGCTCTAAGAACTTGTTAGTAGCATGTGATCAATGCTTTATTAGAATTAGTTAATGTGCACTGTGATTTCCTGGCAGACTCTTACAACAAATCTCCATTATCTTCTGACCCATTGACTTTGGTTGTTTTTTCTCGTATACTTTTCTTTTTGTCATCTCTGACCTTTAGCCTCTTCAAGATTCCCCAGGACCAGATATTCTTATCTTCATCCTGCGATACAGACCTTTGGAGTATGCATGCAATTATCACAATGTAAAACGTAACATTATTTTTAAAAGGTCCAGTTTAAATTCTCCATTGATGCACCTAATTCTCATTAATGCCGTCAATGTATATACCACAAGGTAAGGACACTTACCTGAATACTAAACACCAAAATGCTAAATTAGAAATATGTATGTTAGGTCATTTACAGATATTGAGATACATTTGTAGCTATAGATATTAATCTAGAGGCTTACTGTTTTCATTTTGTAACTCATCAAGCTAGCATTTCAGTTTGTTATTTTCATTTCAGAGCTATTCTGTCCCATTGGGGATTTGGGGATTTTCATGATTGCAGCTGCTTTTGCTGACATACCAAAATTGATCGCAGAACAAAACTTCTCCAAAACACCAAAGAACCCATCTTTTTTAGCTTAATGAATCCACCCTGATGTACACCCACTTGCTGCTTATCCTAATACTTGCTAATTATTAAGTCTAAATCAAAAATACTAAAAACTATAATGAAAACACTCTGTTAAAGAAGCAAATTATTTAAATGATATAAAAACATACCTAGTTACAGCAGCTTCTTCATCAATCCCATCATAAATCTCTTGATCGGAAGGAGGAGGTGGGAACATCTCTTTAACAGATCAAACAGTGAATTAATGCATTTATATTTAATGCTGCTGAATATGGTATTCATTACTGGCCTCTTAAGTATATCAGATGTACATGAAGTTTGTGTAATATATTTGCAAATGGAATCTTTCTGTAAACCAGCACAGCCTATTTATTAAAACAGTGATTTAGATTTATCCCAGTTGGTTATGCCATCCACAGCATTTAAGCGTAGCACTGCTAATCACAGGAGCATGAATACCGAAAACAAATGCATTTATCCTGTGTTCAATGAAATTCTAAATGGCTGATTTTGACCCAGTCATTATGATGACTGATGAGTTTTAAATTTTTGTGTGTGACTCAAGTGATGATTGAAGATGTCAGACCAACACTCTCAGCAAGTGGCCGCTTGTGTTCATCCACAGAAGTCAGAGGCAAGTGCAATGTAAGCTCCCCATTTTGGTCTCAGTTCAGACCTTCGAGCCCCACCTCCTTCAGTTCAGGGTTAGCTCAGTTTTCATGTCAAATTCTAGCCACTGGTCAGAGTAATCACTGAAATCTTTACTTAGCTGGCACCAGATTCTTTCAGCTCTGCCAGAGGCTGCTTCTGCCATGACTAGTATCTAAACTCTAAGCTGAGAATATGAGCTGTGCTCTTGTGATCAACAAAGAATGCTACATAAATATGTGTGCTACCAAAGGGGAAACTGGGTATGAATGTGTGTTCTCTATAGTGTGAAACTGCTGCACTCATACTGGTTAGGACTGCAGCATATCACTGAAACTGAAGTTCTCCTTAACTCTATCAGCAAAATGAAGCTTTAATTGGTAGGATTACTGGCTATTTCAGAACTGGATTTCTCCTGCACAAAACCTCTTGCTCATGTTAATATTTTGCAAATTATATCTGTGCTCTTTTGTGGGATGATTTACCTTCACCATAAAAAAAAAAAAAAAAAAATAGAAAAAGTTTTGTCTTCTGACATGCTTCTGATTCACAGTATGACAAAACTTCTGTCTTTTCCAAGTTCCCATAGGTGGAAAGAAAGCTAATTTGACCACTATACTTCCTTGTTTATTGCCTGTTACCTAACATTTAACATGCTTGTGGATGATTACTGCATTATTTGGAAGCTGCAGAAATCTGGATTTGAAGGTAAGCAGTACACAGAAACACATCCCCTAAAAAAGTATATGTAGAACTTACTTCCAGCTCCACTTCGATCACCACTCTCACTGGAAAAGCAAATGAGAAACATTTTAGAGGAATCCAGTCATATTTGGAAAAAGAAACCACCATGATCACCCATCACTTTTGTAGTTAGTAGTTTTAAACCTTTTGGCTTTGGCACTTACCCACATTGCCAGCTGAGCACCACAAATTCTTCACTGCAAGCTCAGGCACATGCTTGTCTGTTCTATATGGGTGACAACTAAATATGCCAGGGTTTGGGGTTTTTTTCTCTCTCTTTTCACCACTCTCACACTGTTTTTTACAGACACATAGTAGGAGCATTCTCAGTAATACTAAAGAAAATGCATATTCTATTTCATAAGAGAACTAGCCCTTAGATAAGGAGAGATTAACTTTTATTCAAATCAGGTAAGAGGGAAAAATGCTCTTGCTTTTATTTTTTTTTTCCCATGGAAATAATTAATTACAAATCAGAAAAGAGTATTCTAAAATATCATTTGCAATAATTCAAAGGGGAATAAGAGAGAGAGTGATCAATAACATGCTTAGTTAATGTAAAAAACCTCGACAGTATTTTATAAGTAAAGCTGTGGGGAAAATTCTCTATTTGCATGTATCAATGCAGATATTTCAAGCCAATGAAGGTGCACATTTTCATATGAGCAGAACATTCAGTCTTAATTATTAATAATTGTTAGCAACTGTTACCAGTTTCCAATAAAGTCTCATTTTCGAGGAAATGCAAATTGATGTCTACAGCTATGATTCTCTATGTTTAGAAATTTTTTTTATTTCTGTTGATATCTTTTAGCTGAAGTACAATATATGACTTAGCATCATAGGATAATTCATGTTGGAAGGGATTTCAGGAGGTCATGTAGTCAAACGATGGGAATAAAAATATAATCTGACTGAACACTAGAGAGTATATCCACACCCTTTGGATTCATCCCTTATAAGGGTATTTTCTTGAGTTGAAATGGTAAGAAAATTAATTTATTGCTCAAATAACTTTAATTTGGGGATACTTTAAACCTCTAACTACATGTTTCTAACATTTCAAGAATTCCATATTAGCCCAGTGTTCTAACAGTAACTGAAAAAAACCTGATAGGTTCACAGTAGCTGAGGTTATTTCCAGTTCAGAGCCTTACTTAAATTTACACATCAAAGCAAGATATTTTTTAAGATTTTGTGCCAAGAAATTCTGAAATACAACAGCCCTAGTCACTTATTAATTTTGGAATATTAACAATGCAACTGATAATGAGATAATACTGCTTGGTCAAGAGGCTTTTTTTAGTATCGTGTTCTTACAGTGGTTTCAAAACATGTTGATGTATGTCAGGCCTTTCAACAATTCATGCTCATGAACTGAAGAGAATGCTATTAATCACTAGAGAAGATAAAAGTGTCAAAATACAGCTTAAAGGATTTAATGAATCTGAGCCATTTATTCATCCTTCCAAGTTCCTTACACTGTTATTTTAGCGTGCAACAGTGTCAGTATTCTTTTTTGCTGTTAAATTCAACAAATTTTCTAAATTCCTTTAATTTAGGTAGCTAATTCTAATGCTTGTCATAGTGAAAATGATTGGCCAAAGATACATCTGCAATGAAGTACCTAATGCTCAGAATACCTAAAGCCTAGAACAACTAAAGCAGTTCTTCTGGCGCGGTTATAATGCTATGAGACAAATGTTCTGGGAGGAAAACTGATATTGAGCAACCTGGAAAAATATCAGATGCAAAACTATAGTCATTACTTAAAGAATGCCAGCCTGAAGGCAGATCTTTCCAAGTGCTGTTTCTGGAGCTCATGGGGATGTTGTAGCAGCTGAGGACCAGATGCACTCTGCAACCAGCCAGCTGTGGCCCCTTTATTCCAGCCACACCTCTAAGTTAGGACGCTGGGAAGCAGTAAAAGCAGGTGTAATGGCTGAGCATTTCAATATGGTTCTCCTACACACTGAAATCATTTACACCCGTATGCAGATATCTTATCTGAATCCCAGGGTATGTGTCTCTGCACATCAGGACATGTAATGGAGAATGAGCACTGGTTTGTTGCATCACATGACAGAAGCAGACTTTTATGTGAGGTCGGGTATCAGAGGTACCACTGTCATGTTGGGGCATGTGATCACTAGGATAGCTTCTTGCCAGCAAGTTTGATACTTTGCTGGAGATGGCATTTCTCTAGCTGCAGATCTATTTGACGTGAAAAATATGGCACACTGAAGTACAGAATCTGCAAGGTAGCACTTCATTGCAAATACACATGAGACTGTGCCAGAGAAGCTTCTGATGAAGTCAAAAAAGTATAGTTCATACCCATCTCATGAGATTTTAAGAGACCTTATTTTTGGGATTAGACACATTAGCCACACTCTTTTCTAAAGGGCCATCCTAGTCATGCTCCCAGAAGTCCCTTCATTTCAAAAGGAAAGAGGTAGTAAGAATCATAGTTAGACTCATAGTAAGACTCATGAAAGTAATGAGGGTGGTGAGGAGTTCTCCGGTGCAGTGAATGTTTCCCTTGCTTTTAGAGTCTTTTATTCATGTATGTTAGAAATGGCAGTATGTAACTTCCAAAGACAGAACAGGAAAAGAGAGGGAGTGAAGAGACTTGCACTTCTGCAGATGATTTGTAATCCTGCATGTTTTGCATTTTATTCTCTTTTGGACTGCAATGCTGTAGGTCCTTTTCCAATAGTATGGATTCCTAGAATCATAGAATTGTATAACTATTTTTATTGGAAAAGACGTTAAGATCATTCACTCCTGAGTATGAGTGCTTATAGATACTGGATTACAGAATCCATTCTTGTTCCTCTGACTACTTCAGTTTGAGTAGCTTGGTTACATGTAAATGGCTGTTCTTTTGTGACAAGAGTCTGCTTTGTTGTAAAACTTCCCCTTTCTAGGCAGACTGGGGTCATTGGTTCATTTTCATGCATTCCTTATACATACCTGCTAATACTGTCCTGCTCTCCAACATCATCATACACTTCTTGTTCACTCTCCAGATGTTTGACAGGAGTTCTGGTAGATGTTTGTTGCTTTCTTCTTAAAGAATCATAATCAATCTCCACCATAGTTGTTTTAATGTATCCATCTAAATGAATGAAACCGTGTAATTAGGCAGAGATAATTTTAAGGCTCATGGTAAAGGGATGAGTTTAACAAAAGGTTCAGAATCAGTGATTGAATTGTTTTGTAGGATCTTTGAAAACTTTCAAAGAAATATCTCATTACAAGCAGCCTCAGCTTGAGTCTCCATCTGTCTACAGAAATACAAATCTCAGATCTCCCCCTCAAACCCGCCTCAGCTGGTGTCAAGTTAACTTCGGCTTTATTTGCTTCTCAGCTACATCAGATGAATTTTCTGTGCAGACTCCAGAAATCATGGGGCAAGCTGCCTTTCTCAGCTAACCTTGGGACCACTGCAGTTTCCTGGCATTTTTTAGGGCAGTCTGTGACATAAAGGTTCTGACAGGTCATCAGGAAGGAGAGACACTTTGCACTGGTTTTGCTTCAGGTTAATAGACATGCTGCAGCTGCATTGCTATCCTCTTGTCCCTAGATTTTCACTAAACAGATCTGGTTATACCCCTGGGTGCAATGGCTCAGGAGAAACTTGCAGCAGAGCAGTTGTCCTGAGATTGGAAACTCTGTCTCTGCTGAGGGGAATTTTAGACAGGCATACTGCCTGTACAGAAGAGAGCATGAATGGATTTTCTTGCAGGTGAAAAATGCTGATGCATTTATTGAAAAAGGAAAATCCCCCACTCCGCTGCTTCTGAGTGAACCCAGTTTTTAGTGTGTTTCCCCTCAAATCTATAACACATTGATTTTTTTCTTTTATTTAAATGATCAGAACTGATTTTCCTCTGTTGCTTGGTCTTATTTGCAGGCCACCACTGTCCTGTGAAAATGGAAGGCTGAAGCATTGGTGAAACAAATTGGTCTGTACCATTGACACTGGTCAGTGAGAAGCCTTGTACAGCTCGCAGTTCTGATGAGGCAAGAATCAGTGTATGAAAAGTAAATTAATTTAAGGTTAATTAATTGACTGCACATGCGCAAGAAAATACCCTTCTCCAGGCCTCACCAAGATTTGTTTTCCTATGTACAAAATGATGCATGCAAAACACTTACTGACAAAACTTCAAAGTCACAGAAAAGCTGATATTGGAACTTACTTCTTGAGATCATCTTGACCAATCCCCCTGCCCAAGCAGGATCCACTACAGCAGGTTGTCCAGGACCATGTCCTGTCAGGTCTGGAAATTCTCCATGGATGGAGACTCCATCACCTCTTTGGGCAACTTGTTCCCTTGCTTGGTCACCTTCCCAGTAAAAAAATGTTTCCTGATGTTCAGACAGAATTTCATGTGTTTCAGTCAGTGCCCATTGCCTCTGGCACTCTCACTGGGCACCACTGTAAAGAGCTTGGCTCTGTCTTCTTCACACCCTCCTGTCAGATATTTACAAACAATTATAAAATCCTCACTTCACCAGGCTGAACAGTCCCAGGTCTCTCAGCTTCTCTTTGGATAAGACACATTCCAGTTCCTTAATGTCTTTTTACATCCAGTACTGTGAAGTGCTCAGCTGGTATTGGCCAGTTCTACATGTGTGAACTGTCTTACTGAACTTATTGTCATGTTAGTCTCCTTAAAAATCAAGCAAGTGCTTTTAATAATTTTCATGGATTTTATGGATCAGTCTTCTAATGTGTTTGTGATAACCCAGGAGCTAGATCATCAACCCCTTGTCATACTCATAGATCCACTGATGGTATTTATACAATTAGAGAAACATCTTGTATTTCAGACAAAATGAAATCCATAAATCAGTTATAAACTTTCCATAGGAATAGGAACAAGACAAACACTTAAAATAGGACCGTATATTATCTGTTTCTGTTTTAAGAACACCTATGTTATTTTTAATACAAAGACTTGAAAAACTGCGATCCTTGTTACTTGCATGGAGCCAAGTTCTGATGCTATTTGAAGGCTGACTTGGAATTACCTCTCAGTAGATCCCTGAGGATCCCAACATATTCCTAACTTCTTCTAATGCCTTTAGATGTTGCCAATGACTTCCTACTATGAACTAAGCCTCACATGCCAGCTAAGGACAGGAGGGTGAGTTGTGGTAGTTATTTAATTTGGTGGCCAGTGACTCAGACTTGTTAAAGTGTAATGCTCACGTTTGCTGTCATACAGTGAAACATTCAGGAGCACAGTGAAGAAACAGAACTCACAACATCCTTTTATCCTGCCCAGCCACTTTCCTTCTGGGTTGTCTCTGAGGCGAATTATTTCAATCTCATCCCCTTGTTTGAAAGTCAACTCATTCTTCCCGCCCTTGTGGTCAACACAAGCTCGTGCCTGATGAAGGACTTGGATGGGTCCCGTTAACTGCAGAGATGAAGCAACAAAAGAAATCACAGATGTGGGAAATTGGTGTTCTTTCCCAAACATTCATATAGAGGGGAAAATAACTGTAATGATGATTATTTGTTTCATTGATGTTTAAGATAGACTAGGCAAATAAACAGAAAGGCACCACTCCTGTCCCCAGCTACCCAGTTTAAATTAATAACAGAAATTAAAAGAGAAGGCAACAGCATAGCAGTACAGCAGCTGAAGAAGTGACTGGCAACATCACAGAAATATGAAAACTAAAACCAAAAGGCCAACCTGTGGATCCTTTCACAGGCTCCCAAAACAGACACATATTTAATTCCAGTGGACAGCTCCATGTAGTTCCAGCAGAACTACTCACACGAATAAATGTTCATTAACAGAAATAAGTCTACCATATAATGTTTTGTGTTTACAGTTCTACTCTATAAATGATCTTATAAGTACTTACCAGAGATTATCACACTGTTTACAGGAATTCAAGATTCTCTTTGTGAAATCTTTAATATATGTTATGGAGAAACCACTTTGGATTTTAGTAACTGTGGCTTTCATACGTGATCTTTCAGAGGCATGTGTTTTTTGACAATTATAGACTAGCTCAGGAATATCTATCCTATATAGGTGGCAAAGAAATGGGAAAGAAAATACACACTAATATATATGTGTTTGCAGTTAAGAATAATAACGTATTTTATTGGCCTCAAGAGAGCGGTCTGTAGTCTGAAATCATTCAGTGCACTAATGCCCACACTTCACAGGAGTGGTCTGAAAAATAGACTTGGGGCCTGACAAACACCAGCTAACCCACTATTATTAACTATTAGTATTTTCCTTTAATATTTGCTCCTCAACTCATGTCAGTCTCCACAGCAGACCTAGGCCACGATGTGAGAGAATCACCATGGCTTTACTGTGGACAGAGCATAATAGGAAGAAAAACAAAGCTACCCACTATGTGTAATGACACCGAAAGAAGCACAGTGGAGCATTGTGAACAGGCATTAGTTAACAGAAAATGACTGGCAGATTTGTAAACTGTGGTAGCATGCTGACTACCAACTATATACAAATTATATATACTGGAAAGAACTGTCTCATCATTTAGCCCCTAGACTTTGACAGTGACTGTAGCTTCCCTGCATGTGCACTATTCCCTTCCTCCCCGTTTAGACTGGAAGTCCCTGTAGATCCCTTTAGACCAAGGCAAGGGCAATGTGTTGCAATATAATGTCAAACTCTGTTAAGGGCTGGGTACTTTATATCTGACTCCAGTGAAGCAAAAAACCACTAAGTATATGGGATCCAATTCCTGCTTTTATTAAGGACTTTTGATGCTATATTAGCAATGTAAATGCTTTTTAAACAGAAAAGTGAAAGGAAATGTTTTTAAGGATTTTTATATATATATATATATATATATATATATATATATATATATATATATAAAAAGAATGTCAGAAGGAAATTTAACAAAAACTATATAATCACTGAAAAAGCCATTTTTGTCCTCAGTACAGAGCCTGAAGTCAAGCATATACCAAACATAAAAGGGTAGCTTAAGCCTTTAGTCATAATTTATCCAGGTGTTTGAACTACCAACCATGACAAATAGTTTTGTAGCCAGATGAAAAGTGTATTTTGAACTCAACAATACTAAATAATACTTCTTACGTGTTTGGCCAGATTACAAAGCAAAAATCTTACTTTGAACTTCTTCCTTATTTCCTGCTCTTTCTTTTCTTTTTCCTTTTGTTCTTTCTTCTCTTGGTCCATTCTTCTCTTTTCTTCCTTGTCCCACTTCTTCTCTTTTCCCCTTGATGATCTGAAAGTGCATTTCCAGGATTGAATATAGCAGTGAAGCAAATCTCACTAGAGCTTTCTTACCCAAGGTTAACAAAGAACTACATGTGATGGAAAAAGACTACTCTCAGTGAAATTAAAGCTACAGAGTCTAAACCCTAGTGTGGTTGCAACAGACAGATTAAGCAGCGGTCTCTCTTATATTACATATATAATTTAAAATAGCTGTCCTCAGGAGGACAGCACACCAGAAAAGCTTCTCTGGAGGTAAAAGACTGGCAGTACATGTGCACGTCCAAACATCTTTAAGCTAATTTTGGCAAGCAAACCTGGAAACTGGTAGAAGTCTAGGTGTTGTGGCAGTGGCTGCAGCTGTTAAATATTTACCCAAGCTGTTAGAGGTTGATGCAGCCTCAACTGAAGCCTGGACTGAAAACTGGACTGCAGTTTTAAACCTAATTGGAACCTATTCCAGCATTCTACACAAATGACAGTCAGTCTTCTGCACTGCATTATAAGTGTTCCTAACACATCAGGTTACATTGCCTGCTGTGCTTCATGTACTGGATGGTACCGAGATCTGAGCCCTGGAATGTAATTAGGACTTCAGCTACAGCTCTGCCATTTGCTGCCAATGGTTTGGCTGGAAGGCTGTGATTTACAAACCCTATGGAACAAGCTGAGTGAGGCTCCCTCCTCTTCCTTTTTTGGTACTTTTGATAAACTGATATGCTCAAATTATATTAAAAAAGATAAAAATAAAGACTGAATGAGTATCGCTTGTTTTGGTTATATAGTTTCAAAGCTATTTATTTTCAAAGGGAATTCAACAATACATTTTTGTTGAATGTCATTCTACATCTGAAATGAGGTATTTTTGTGCAGGAACTTTAGACTGTTATGTATTTCAAGGGAATAAGAGCTTTTCTTTAGCTATTATCATATGCTGAATTCTATACATTTGGACATTAGCAGGGCAAAAGACTCCTCAAAATAAAGGGCTGAATGCAAAAGAATGAGCAGAGCTCATATTCTTGCTCTGTAGTTACGCTAGGGGACTCAGGCCATGATATCTGTAAATCCAGACTCAGAGCTATGAGTTCCAAGTATTTTTATATAGAAAGTGAGAAAAAAAATCACAACAAAAGATCTGGGAGCATAGTACCTAGGGGCTGATCTTGTTTTTCCTCTCAGGCTGTAATTCCAGTGATTCAGACATGTTCATTAGATAAGAAATCAGACTTCTGTTATCCTGATCACAGTAACCACAAGATTTTATTGCAGGAGTTTTTCCAGCCCAAGGCATAGCAGATTTAAGTAGGAAAGAGCCTGTGAGCAACCTGACTTTCTCTAGGTGAAATGAATGAACACAATGACGCCTGTCAGGGACTGCAGTGGAATCACACTTTCATGCCAGATGAAGCATCTTTGTTAACAAGCTTTTAGTAATAAAGCTACAAGAGGTTATAGAATTTAAAATCACTACCTGATGTCATTTATGTCTTCATACATCTCTCCATCACTTTCTTGGCCCTATAAGAAAAATTAAGTTTTCAATGGCCTAGATATATTTGGAAAGACATGAAGAAACGGAACTTGCTATGTAAGCTTCATACAAAGTATGTAAAGACATTTACAGCAAAATGTAAATACAAATTAATTTAAAATTCCCAAACCAAGTTATGACATTATTCAAACCCACTATTCTTTTTTTCTGACTTTATTTTTACAGTACCACAACTATAAAGTCCTGGATTGCTACAATCACACTAGCACATTGCTTAATCCAAAGTGGATGTTTTAATTGCAGTGTTAGTCCCGGAAAGCCTTTATCTGTGTTGATTGTACTGTCATGATGAAGGTGCCAGGGTTAGCAGTAGTTAAACTGGAATGCTAGGGATCTAAATGGGACTCATATTAGTGTTGCAGAGACTCTTCTAGTCCTAATACAGCCAGGTACTTAAAGACACTGATAGAAACTTGTGCTTAACTGAAACAAATATTTTATTACTAGAATAGAACAGGGCCCTTGTCTCTGGAAAATTTATGTGAAATGAAATGTCAGTGGAAATAAAAGGGGTGGCTTTGCTTTTTTTAAAATCAATTTTTGGTGTCTAGCCAACTTTGATAATTAGTTCCAGTTTGCTCCGCTTACCCAGTTTTATGTCTGTCCTTCACAATAAGTAAGTGCTTCTACAATTTACTGTCAATATACTGGATTCATTCTTCAGTTAATTTTCTAATGTGTTGAAAGGATTTTTCTAAATTTGTAAGTTTGTGCTAAAAAGGACAGGTTTATCATGGAAAATAACACTTACCCCCTCTGTATTTCCATGACCTGTGTGATAAAAAATAAAAACAGTATTTGTTTTTTGCTGTACAGAAAACAATTCATTCTAGTGTTAACTATTTACAAACTGCTAATAATACTACTGATATTAACTAGAAATACGTGCAGCCTTCTGGCTTTTAATGAGGGTATGAATGCAAAAATCAAGAGTTTTTCCAGAATGCTTTTGTAGTACACTGTAAACTAGAAATAGGTACAAAATAGCATATTTCATCATGTATTTTTAAAAGTGGAAGATTTGTTTTAAAGATTCTTTAGTGACATTGATGAACTTACCTATGCTATTTGTTTACAAAATTGCCTATTTATACAAGAAAATCATTGTTAAAGACTTAATAAATGGAAACAGACCTCAAAGAACTTGCTTGCACCAGCCCAACAGCTGTATAAGGAGGCCAAAAGCTCTTTTGCTAAGCCAGCCTCTACCCTGGGCTGCAGGAGAAGAAACTCATTCTTCCTCCTTACTCTGCAGGTAAGTAGTTAAGAAAGGAGCTTGGGCTCACTTCGAGCTCCACAGCCCACATTGCTGTATGGCAGGGTTGGCTAGCACACTAAACAATGCATACTGTGCCTGGCACAAACTGAGTCCCCCGAGGAGAGATCAGAAGGCAGATTGAAATTCTTTGTGTCACAATCTGCTTCCCTGCCTGCTCCTGGTACAACATAGCGACTCACTGCCTCTTATTGAAGGCAGACCACAAAGCGTCATTAAAAGCACAACTCTGAAAGAGCAGCATTCATTTTGGTTCAGATTTGAAAATCTGGTCATTTACAGTCCCATCATATTTCTAACCAAAAACAGGGGGGTAGATGGGAGAAGTTTAAAGCAGTTCCTGAGTCTGTCATATTAATTGTAGAACCATTAGTGTTATGAGACAACCGTCTTCACCCATAAAAGTGCAGAACTAGCATAATTAGTTACACAAGTCACTCATGAATGTAGTATACTTTTTCTTATTTTATAAATAAAATATGCTTACAGCTTCTTATAGCTGCCATTAATTAAAATGTATGCATCTTACCCTGTGAAACGAATTCAACATCGTCATAATTTTCTTCATTGTCTGGACTTCTGTAAATATGAAAAAGTGGATATGTGAAACCTATAAGGATGGGTTTATGATTACACTTTCATTCTCCATTGTTCTGGTGCTTTTTTTCAGTTATTTTACATAGTGGCTGAACAGTCTGTTGAGCCCTGTATGCCACTTAAGTACCCATGAGATTCCCTAAATTGTTGTCCTGACTGTGACTTGTTTTTTCATATGGGGACATTCTGATCCTGAGTATAAAAGGAGAAAATGAGCCAAAGACGTTCAGATACCATTGACATGAGTGTGGTATGAAAAATATAATAGGCAGATGGGCTGACTGAATGTAAAGAATCTGTTGGGCTTTTTAACCATCTTCACAGCTGCAGGCTTCTTACACAGTGCACAAGCAGAACGACAGACTTTTGCTTAATGTTAAATACAGCTCTGGGGCTAGCTCCTTCACTTGTAGGGCTTAAGGGCTAAACGAGGGACAAGAGGTGTAAGGTTAGGCCAGGTAAAAGGTCTCTGTTGTTGTTAGATTTAAAAGTGCTGGCGAATCGAGAGAAGCTAGAAATTCAGAATGTGATTAATAATAACATCAGGGACTCTTAACTTTGTAATACCTTATAACAGTTGAAAGAAAACTGGGGTTAACAGTCATCATCAGAGAAATGTAATCAAAGACAGGACTTGAAAGGAGAATGTTATGTTTTAAAATTGTTTTGAAGGAGAAAGCACCAAGATAGAGTGAAAGAAAAGTCGACCACAATCAGGGACGCATTTTCAGCAGAGGGAAGATTTCAGAGTGCACGCAGGCACGGGAGGGCAGAAGGGCAATCCGGAGAAGGACCCTGAAGGCAAAGAGGACACGCCTGGCTCCCAAGCATTCGGCCGTGAGGGCGCGCAGGAGAGCTGCAGGGGGGGCTGCGGAGCGGCTGCCGCCGCCCGCCCGGCGCTCCGGCCGCTAGATGGGGCGGGACGGCGGCTCCCCGGGCGGGTGGAGGGGGGGGGGACGGCGGCTCCCCACGGCCGCGCCGGCGGGGCGGGCCGGTCCCGCAGCCCCCTCCCTGCAGCAGCAGCAAGAGCAGCGCTAGGCTGACGCTGTCTCACCATTCGTACCGAAATACAGCAGGCGCGCTGACACACACCCCTCACACGCCTCGTATATTCTCCCGGTCGGACGTTTGCTGCTATTTACAGTAACTGCTGGGCGCAGAGCAGCGCGTTATTCAGGCTCAGCTCGTTTCTGGTCAGTTTTGACACTAGACCGAAGTGCTCGCAACTCTCTGTCGGTGGGAGGTTCCCCTTTTGTATGCAGCTCTTCAAAGACGGATAAAGAAAGGAGCCCCGTATGCGACAGAGGCTTCTCAGGGTTATCACAAGAGGCCACGACACGGCTCCTGGCGCAGTTTCACAGCCGACGCTGAGCTCAGGATCTCCAACTTGCAAAGCTGCTTCCTGAGGTATCGACTGATAGACCTGACCCTCCTGCTCCTCTTCCCCCAGAAAAATGAAGGGGGAGGTTTCAGTTATTGATACAACTGATTTTCTATCAGTGTGTGAAGTCTTTGAACCCTTCTGGAGTAAAAAAATCCAGCGGGGTGTCTGTTCCCTCCCCTTACCAAAAAACCGCACAAAACAGGGCAGAAAAAAAGTGTTGCTATAGGTGAGGCAATTTAGGGAAACAACTAAATAGATGCAGGTTTCAAGCTAATAAAAACTAATTCCAGAAAGGACAGGGGGAGGATAGAACAAGGAGAGTGGTGTGGGACCTCATTTCCCCAGGAACCTGGGAAGCCTGCTGCCTTAATCTGCTGCTGCATGAGCAAAGTAATAGGAAGAAAAAGGTGAGAAAATAGAGACCTTGGGGGTTATGTTCACTTACATTGTTTCAGTGTTGGGCTTGACATTTCTGGGAGGCAGGCTGGGAGCTGCTGGGAACTGCAGGGACGGGTGAGAGGCTGGTGGAGGAGGTGGCAGCTGTGCAGCAGAGTGTGGTGGAGGTACAGGTGGGGAGAGTGCTGCTGAGGAGGGTGCTATCTGTTTCAAACCTTCATTTTTAGAGCCTGAAAAAAAAAAAAAAAAGCAGAACAGACTGAATTTCTCAAGCAAACAGCTGAGGAAGGAACCTCACTGTTTACATGAAGTACTAGAATAAAATATTACTGCACATACTCTAGAGCAAATATATTTTGTTGAACCTGGTTCTTAGATATATTTGTTGCCTTATCTTACCAGTATAGAGACGTTCTACCTAGAAGAATGTACTGCCTATAGAAGGCCTTGTTCATGTCTTTGCAAGACGTGAACAAGACACAAAAACATTTGTTCATCCAGTCTGTAAGCTCTTGTGCTCTAAAACTAAATTATAATTTAATTCTACAATTTTCTTGAAAAGACCACTGAAGAGTTTCACATGAGCACTGATGCAGTCTTGCTGGAGTTTTCTTTGCTCAGAGTTTCAAGGGAAGGGATGAGGGATGAAAATGTATTTTGACATTGATTAAGAGGTATACAGGTCTCTGTACATCTTCAAATATGTTTAGAATGTAAGTTGTAAAAGGCTGGACTTAATTTTCTAGCAAGCCCATACTAGAAAAGTGGCAGTTTGAGAAGCTGCGCAGAAGCTACACTCTCAACAAACAGGTGCAGCCTTGAAAACAAGATGATGCAGTGCACCAGGCACAAAAGTTCTAATTACATGAGTGGGCTGGTGTGTGTATGTGCTGCACTGAATTCATTCTCAGTGTACAAGCCACAACCAAACCATAGTAACCATGGTTTTGAGAGTTCATGTTGAGAGAAGTTATTCAATACAACCAAATGAAATCACTGTTTGTATGACATGATACTAAACCTAGAATTTTGTTTCAAGTATCATGAATGAATTAAAAGCTACCCAGAGAGAATTGTCCCCAGCTGTAAGGAGGGAAGTCCAACAAAATCTAAGGAAGAGGAGAACAGAAGGAAAAAGCAAATTCACAGTTCAGTTAAAGCCAATTATAATCAAAAAGAACACCCTTGTCATCTGGAGATTTTTTCCAAGTTCACACCTGTATAATGGAGACTGAATTCTTGTGGCTTAAACACAGAACAGAAATATGTAATAATGCTTAATATCAAGACGGAAAGACTGGAAGAGTTCTTTTCAGTTGCTTGGGAGTCTGCAATTCTGTCCTTGGGATAGACAAGAGAAGGGGAATCGATAACTATTAGAAGGACCTATTGTGTGATATATGGAAATCAAAGCAAAATTTCCAAGCCTTGACAGTTTTTCTGCTTACTAACAAAGAACTCAAAATTTTCTGGATAAATTTGGCTTCATAACTGCTTGGAGCAACTTGTCAACATATATGTCAACAACAGTGGCTTTGAAACATGGTAAGTATCTCCATTATTTAAACAGCAAAGTACTAAAAGTCCCAACACTGCTGATTACAAAGGTGAATTCTTCAGTGTTTTTGTTAAGGAGAATTCATCTTGCAAAAACAGACCCTTACAATTCAAGATACGTCAAGATTAAAGTTGTATGGTATCACATATCTTTTTAACCTTTTTATTCAAAAGTACATCCCAAAAGTCAAGTGAAATAATCCTTTTACTTAGTACTGAGGAAACTACAGCACGGTTAATGCATGCCAGCTGGAGAGAGCCCAAAAGCAGAAGAATTAAAATGACTATAGGTCTAGAAAACATGAATTCCTGGAGATACTGAACAAATAGTGGTTGCTTAGGAAAGCATGGCAAGACTGAAGGAGAACAAAATGCATACTTAAGTCTCTGGCAAAGAAGAAAGACTTCCCCCCCAGCCCCCCTTCATTTCCATGATGGAGAAGGCAAGAAGTAGTGTGTTTAAAGGCCAGCAACATTTGTTAGGAGGCACATTCTGACAGTGAAGGTGGCATTTCCATGGCTTGAGGTCCATGCTGAAGACGTATCCGTGTTGAAGAAGTACAGTTATTCTTACCTGACACGGAGGCAAGGATCAAACAATTTCTTTATGTCCCTTTCAATTCAATGCTGACATCCTCTGTCATCCTATATTTTACAAGATATCACATTTAAAATACTTGCCTTAAGCCCAGCAGCTAGAGATCTACTAAAATATCATCTTGGCTAAAACTTGTCTTCCAGAAAGATATCCCACTTGTTTGAAGATGAGAGAAAGAATGTACCACTAGAGTTTGTTTTGTTAAGTTTGCTCACTGTTAAAATCTGCATCTTACTGTTTTCTAAGTTTATCAGGCTTCAGGTTCTATTACATTTATTTCTACCTTTGATTACTAGATCAAAAGCCTTTTTATAACCACTGTTTTCTACCCATAAGGTATTTATACCACTGAACTTGAACAATATCTCAGATTTCTTTTTGATAACTTTAAACACCCAACCTTTTTAATCTCCTCTTAAGGTCTTTTTTTTTTTTTTTTTTTTTTAATCTAGCGATTAATTTGTAGCTATTTCTGTAATCTCTCCAATCTTTCCAACATTGTAAAAGCTCTGTCAGTGGAATTCTACACAGTATGCACTTGTCTGCCACATTCAGTGATTAAAATTACAAGTCATTCTTTATCTGGCCATATCTTTACTGACTGCATCTAGAGGGTTTCAGTATTTTCTCCAGTTGTCATCACTCCTCCTGTTTTGGAAGTGCAGACAGCTGAATATCAAACTAAAGCCCATTAGGAAAAAGCTTTTATTCAAAAACTCTGTAAATATATGAAGATTTCTTAAGGGTAAGACTCCAAGAATTCAGGGTTACAGGCTGACAACCATTATGCATTAAACTTTTCTGTAACATCATTGTCCTTTATTATGGTGAGATTTTTCTGCAAGGCTTTACACTACCTTGTTTTGCAGGTATGGTTTACATTTCTTCATTCTACACATATATCTACATTTGACTAAAGACAAACTTTGTTTAAATGAGCCAAGATTACATGTGTTTGCACTGTTGTTGTAACAGTCTCCAAAGACTGTGTGTCTGTATTTAACTCTTCACAGTCTTTGTTCATCCACAGACTTTATCAGCTGTGATCTCTTACTGTTCTAAAAATCCCAATAAAGATGAACAGCATTAACAATCTACTCACGTATTTGCTGTTGAATTCTTTTAAGCAGATTCTAATGAAAGAAAGGCAGAAAGGTTTTTTTCATAATAGCCATGTTAATTGGTATTATTTAAACTCTCAAGTTTTTCTAACAAGGAATCCTATATCAGTTTTGCTGTCATATATATGTTGACCTAATACAGTGTTCTGTATATGCAAAACATGCATACATGCACTGTGTCATCATACAGTGTTATTTCATTGTGATTAGTTTGTTGGACTAAGGTAAAAATTCTGCCCAAGTCTCTGTGCATGGTACTTCTTTCATCTGATGTTTCTTGAGAGCCAAACTGAGGCAATAGGAATCTGAGCCACCGCATGCATTTCAGATTAAGTGCTTATTTTTAAGTATAAGGGCTGAACAACCTTTCCCTTTTAATTTATGTACATTGGTGGAATCTAACAATAACTAAATCATCATCATCATATTAATGAAAACACTACTTTTTTATTTTCTGACTATTGGAACTGACTCTTACCTGCCTTTAGAGTTATAATTACCTACACTTATGACTGAGACTGATGTGGGTGTAAAATGCTTTAACTCTAATAATGAAAATAATGGGGTGAGTTAGGTAGGACTATGACACTCAGCATGTAATTTTTACTCCAGTTCCATCCTTTTGTGTCTCTCAGAATTTTCGTAGTCTGAGGATATGGAAGGCTCTGTTCAGGTAGTGAAACTGAGGTCAGCTCTGGACACTCAGAACAAGAAATCAAATTGAAACTACATCCTGGCTTGACATGCACCCAAGGCACTTTCATCACAGGAAGCAGTGTTAAGGACCATCGCTGTGTGGTAGCTTTGATTACTAACACCTCTGTTTCCAAATAGCCTCTTCTCTTTTCTTGAAACTCTCAGCTTTTTCACATGGTGTGCTGCACTGAAGGAACAGATGCAGAAACTGAAGCTCTTCACAAAGAAATGAAAGAAGAGGTGAAAAGGTACGAGTTCCTCAAAGCCTGTGCAGCTGTATAGCATCTAAGAGAAACTTGCCATAGAGACTGTCCATAGAAAGTTGCAAATATCCTATTACACTGCTGCTTGTGGTATTCAACTTCCTTAAAAACACCCAGAGCTTTAGCACTTACAGCAGAACTGTGCACAGAACACTGCAAACGCTTCTGTGTTCTTGGGGAACCTTCTCAAACAACTTCCATACGTGCAGTGACCAAAAGGTCACTTACATTCTTGAAGAAAGTTTATTTATCAGGAAGTTCAGGACACTGAAGTTGTCTTAATGTAAAACTTGTGATTTGACCCTTGCCATTTCTGTCTTGTTCAGGGAAATACTGATACCTCTTTGATAGCTAACGTAACACCTAGAGAAAGATCTCATCTTCCCTTCATGTCCAGATATTCTATCTTTGACAACTTCAGGAGAAATCAACCTGTTTCAACTTGTGTATAATCAGCTTGTGTGTAACAATATGCTATACTTTCCATGCCTCTCCCATGTGAACTCAAAGAGAAACTAGTAAAAAACCCAAAATAAGTCCAGCTTTTTGGAACCCATGTACTCTATGTAGTCAAAAGGAAGTTTCAGGGCAGGATGAGAAAACCTCTCACCTTGCAAAAATCTTCAGTGATGTCTTGATACGCTGTATTACTCTGTCCTGAGATGCTAATACCAGAAATATGTGTCAAACTGAAGGGAAATCAAAGCAGTGCTTGGCGTCCTTATTGGAGTAATACATGCAACAAGCAGTACTTGATGGGATGGGAATCTTATGCGAACCAGTACTTTGGCCAGAGCCAGTTCTCCCCAGTCCTTTTCCAAATTGTAAAATAAATTGGACTCATGTGCAAGGTTGATATGAGCTCCAGTACTGACAAAGCTGAAATGACATGTCTCTATTCATCCCGTGCCTAAATATCAGGATATCTCAATGCTCACATGAGAGATTGGCATGTAGATGAACAGTATCTAATTATCAACCTGAAGAGAACAGAA